TTCTTATAAAAACCTTAACCTTAGGGGAGGTTTACATAATTTTACAAACTTTAAAGGAGGCTAGTGAAATTGCTAGAAGTGTCATGGGAGGTTTCCAAAATTATTATTATTAGTTTGTTTAGGTAGAGGTTTAGATGGCTATACTACTACTTCCAAGCTGCGTAGTAGGTTTTATAATATATAGAGGATCCAAGGACCGTGAGATCTGGGATCTTAGGAACATTCCATTCATTCCAGTGTTTTAAACTAATTGTTACAAGAATTTTAATTCTACACACATTCTGCATGGGTTCTTTATATAATTATGCACCCCAAACCACCTTGCAATCTCAATTAGTTATTAACATGGTTGCAATCTTTAAAATTACAAAGAAGTCCATCTTTAAATATGAGTTTGTGAGAGGCGTAGAAGAGAGTTGCGACTTTGGGAGGTAAAATTTTTGTTTAAGAGTCCGTTTGTTTCGGGTGAAAATGTTTTTCAGGAAAATATTTTCCTAATTTCTCGTGTTTGGTTGCACAAAAGTTACTGAAAACATTTTCCTATGTAAAATATTTTCACTCATCTTATGGAAAACAACTTCCCTTCAAAACTTACTAAAGTTGTTTTCCGAAAGGCATGCATCCCGCCTGTAGTATGTTCCAAACTTACTGAAAATATCTTGTAGTATGTTCTTTTTTTTTTTTTAGTGTAAATAGGAGGATTCGAACCCAAGATCTCTTCCTTACACTCCCTTCCCTGTACCACCCAACCCTCCCCTCCCCCTAGTATATTCAAAATTAAAAAAAAATCTCATCCTGCTCATCCTATGCTAGTAATTAATTATGTATAATAGGGACATTCTTTTCAAGAGAAACTTTCAGCAGTGAGAGTGCAAGATATATGTCACAATAAGCATTGCATGTGATTAATATTTGCCACTAAATGACCAGCAATTTGTTTATTGCTTAAGGAGATATTTTTTATTCATATATACATTTCTCCAAGATTTTTTAAAGTTAAACAATGAGATAAATTTTCTTATTTTGCATGGGAAGAAGTATGTAGTTATAATGTGTAGAAAGTAAAGATAGAGATAAAAGTGAAAATATTTCAAAAGTTAAACAAACACCAGAAAAATGAAGTAAGAAAATATTTTCAATAAGTTAACCAAACACCTAAAAATGATGAAAGGGAAATGATTTTCAGGGAAAATTACTTCCACGGAAAATATTTTCCCAAGAAAAATATTTTACTTCTAACCAAACAGACCCTAAATGTAAATGCCACCCTCGTTTTTAACTAAGCAGCACAACTGCTCCACTTTTATTCATATGAAAATAAGTTTACGTTGTTGTATAAAAAAATTTCCAGACAACTCATTTACGTAATGAGTACTGAAGCACATGTTCCAAGGAAATAAAATGACTAGAGCAAAAGGCTTTTGGTTTCTGTGGCACCCATGCATATGCAACAACAAATCGGGTGGAATGAATATTTAACTTCAACAACTTATTGGGGGAAAAGTTCAAATTTTTTTCAAAATTATATAAAGGGAAAATGGTTCAAAATGTCTCTCACATTTTGTCAAATGAATTTTTTTGTCTTTCACATTTAAAATAGTAATTTTATATCTCTTACAAAATTAAATCGGTAAAATTTAGTCATAACCTAGATTTTGATCACTTTTTACTCTAAATCTATCACGTACCTCACACATGATCACTTTTTTGCTCGATTGTAGTTAAACAAATGACCCGATGCATAATCATTTTTGCCCCTACTTGACCTTTTTATACATAAAAAATAACTACATGTAAGTCACATGGTAATTTCAAGTTAAAATATGATTAAAAACCTAGGATAGGACTAAATTTTACTGACTTAATTTTGTAAGGGACTATTTTAAATATGAAGGATGAACAAATTAATTTGACAAAATGTTAGGGACATTTTGAATAATATTTCCTTATATAAACAGTACTAAAATTTTTGTGGGTACAAAAGGGGATATTTGCCCTAGTGCCCCCATTGCGGTCTGTAACAACTTGATACATATTCCATTTCTTCCATTAATTTCAGTAATAGGTACCGTTCAGCATGTGTCGATTCACTCCTTAAGAATATTCCTCACTTCAAGTTAATATTTCTTTACTCAAAAATTTTGCACCCCTCCAAAAGAAGGGGAAAATTTTATTCGTAGGATAGCACCCTACATGAATGCTAAAATTGCCAACCATCCAAAAGGACTCGAGTTGAGGTGATTGTTTGACTATATGGGTGAAGGAATACTTACCTAGGATTTTGATTCCTGGAAACATCAAAGCAAACTTGCAAGGTTATTGATGAATAAACAACGTGGGAAATAAGTGTTTTCCCTTTTCTTGAATTGGAAATCTGTTTTCAAAGTGAAGCTGAGATATTCAGGCTTTTTAAGTGCAGCTGAGAATTTCAGGCTTTTTAAGTCTGATGAGCTACAAAATCTAGTTTATATACTTGCATGCAGCATTGTGTGAAACGCTGAGGCTATATCCACCAGTTCCTACTGTAAACAGGACTCCTCTTCACCTAGACAACCTTTCTAGTGGCCAACATGTTCATCCAAACACGAAGGTAATGATTTGTCCATATGCAATATTATGGGGCAAATGGAGCCGATTTGGGGAAAAGATTGTAAGGAGTTTTAAGCCCAAAAGGTCGATTTCTGAACGTGGAAGGGTTAAACATGAACCTTCCTACAAGTTCACGGCCTTCAATGGAGGACCAAGAACTTGCCTAGGGAAGGTAGTGGCTTTTACTCAAACTAGGAGGGGATCACCGCGTGTTGCGCGGTGTTAGTTTTATGTTGCCCAGAAAATGGCCCAATTTTCAAGTGAGGATATCACAAATCGTATGGGTTGCATTTAAGTTATTTGGTTATGAAATAATTAATTTTTTAAATAAGCGATATTGTAGGAAAACGCGAGTAAATAAATGTTTGCATTTTACACGGCATCAAGGAAAAGATCGAAAAGGAAACAATTGCGGTGAATAAAATTGAAGCTCATAATAGATGTTAGGTATTCATAACATATTTACTGCATATTTAATTTCATTGCAATGCAGTTATATTTGGCAGGAATGTAGAGCGCGGTTCAACGAAATAAAAAAGTGAAACATATGCGGTGGAGAGGTTCAAGGGAAGAGGGAACTTCGGTTATAGAGAAAACATACTGCAGAAGTTAGGTACAAGCAGGACAATTAGAATAAATTTTGAAGGTGTAAGACCATGGAAAGACTCTCTCGACCCCATTATCGTCAAAGACTAAAAGTGTGAAGGTAGTTGATGATTCTGGAATGAAGACAAGGATTTCATTGTGCTGCAACTGGTGCTGAAGAACGAAGCTTCTCCAATTTGTTTTCAGTTTTTTTCCTTTTACACCTATGGATGTAATTTTCTCTCCAGTCCTAATAAGAAGCGTTGGAGTTCTTTGTTCATTAACGAAGTGATCGACGAATCTTGGAATTTTCTGATAGAAAAAGAATGAAAGTCAGATATGCGAACATACTATATAGCTTTGGTTTAAAGTAATGCAGTGAGAGACGGAAAAAGAAATAGTGTACAGATAGGTTACCAATGTGTTTGGGCTTGCTGTATTGAAGGTTTGATAGAAGCAAATCGAATTAGCGAGATTTTGGGTTAAATTTGGGTTTATTGATGAAGAAACTAACTGTTGAATTATTATAGAAGCTGCACTATGTGAAGTTATTTAGCAGATAATAAATTAGAGAAGATTTTACTACAATTAACTGCACGATATAAAGGTTAATATAAACTGACCTTGTGCATGAGCAGCAACAGCCTGCAATAAATTTAGTAATGGGACTGTCCAAGATAGGTAAACCTGTTTTTACAGCTCGGAAAAGTGTATGACATCAAAGATGAGATCGCCGGTATGTCATAGAAGCAACATATCATGTTTGTTTGTAATATTTTCACGGCAATATTCATCCCAGCCTTCTTGAAATGAACGATCGCCGACTACAATAGGCCATTTATAAGTTCCATGCCTGAGAATAATTGTATTACGTTGGTGCTGAGTAAGTAATAGTTTGAACTGAGCAGGGAGAATCTGCGTTTTGGCAAAGAAAAATAGGAAATGTCAAATGAACATATATATCTGTACTGCACATTGTTAACAAGTAATTTCGATCACATAGAAGAAAATTAGACCTCTCCTCTGTGATTGCATTTCAGTAGAAAACAACAGGCCATTGAGCCGCTATTTGTTAATCCATAGGTAGATGAACCTTTTGCCATTGATGTGATTGAGAAGCTAATAAAAAAAAAGTGTCAAAGATGCAATCATATGAAGACAAAGACAACAATTGAAAGTTAGAGATAACCCGAGGGAAGTAAGTAGGAAGCTCAACTTGAAGTGTTTTGTTTGGGTGTATGAGCCATTGAAGAAGTAGTTATATATAAGCAATGAATGGTTAACAGAGTTTTTTAGTAAATTTGTTTATGGTTAGGCTAGCTCTAGCTTTTTTCAGGGTTAAGGGGTTTAATGATCTGTCACATCAAAGAAGCAGAACAGGTTAATATTAAAAGAAGTGAATGGTAAGGGCACAGCTAAGAATTGAATGCAGAACAGGGTAATATCTACTGAGTTTTAAATCAACTAAGGCCACAACATATTGGATAACATAGTTACGGTGAGGAAAAAATCTGAGTTTCTGCAAATGAATTGGAGCCTGCACAACTACACAATTTAAGGCTAATAGATACACTAAGTCTGAGCTGCTGAGCATAGTAAGTGGAGCTTACAATAGTTGGTGCGCTATTTAATAAGAGATTTATGTGCAGGAGAAAACTTGAATAGCTCTGATAAAGGCATTCAGCAAAAGTTGGCGTATAACAGATAGTACATTTACCACAAGGTCACTTAATAAGCTAAATAAAGTAGAAGGTGAATTCAAAGGATACTGTAACCAGTACATAATAGCTGTAAAGCATCAATTCAAATACATAGCTGTTGTTGATTGCAGGTTATCAGCAAACGTAAAAGTTGGCAGACCAAAATCAGTTTAAGGGGTATCCATGAACAAAAGACATCTTTCATTAATACATCAATGACCCTTCTAGGAATGCATAAGCAACCTTGCAAAAATATACGATAGCATGGCAGTGATAGAAACTACAGATTTCGTGGACAAAAAGCCTAACAGTTACAAGTCAGTTGATTCTTTGCTTTTTGCTAGAGCTGCATTCTGCATTTTCATCCTCTTCAGCTTCAGTGCTTTCTGGTTCATCAAACCTTTCAGAAAGGCGAACGCAAACCTTTGAACGAGCGCTATTCTCTCCTGCGACCATATTTGTTTGATATGTCACATTATTCAGCCGAAGTAAAATATAAACGCAGAACAAAAAATTGTGTAGTGCTTGTGAGTTACCTGGAGTTCCGAGCTGTATAGTACCAGATTCTTTGCTGGGGAAAGGAGGGTCATCTTTCACTTCACTTGTTAACTGTGGAGAATCAGCATCATCAATAATTTCAGAGTAGTATATAATTGTGTAGCGCTGCCTTGCATCTGCCAGCTGCGTTTGCACGGGTTTGATATGAACCAGAAACGTCTTTGATCTGAGCTCCTTGTGGACAAACTTGAGGGGAAGTGCAACATTCTGTTAAGGGAACGAAAAGTAAGAATAAAAAGTATAGAATACTTTTATTATCAGGATTTAGGAAGCAAGAACCTCATTAAAGTGCTGCATTGCTTCCAGTGCACTAAACGTCAGTAGGTTCTCTGCTAATTCGCCAAATACTGAAGCTGGTATCACGCCGGTGCTATCGGTCAAATCAACATCAAAGCGGCATCTGAAAATAGGCACATAATATGCAGTAATTTTTTGATGTGAACCAGCATTAGATAGCAGCGAATACAAACTAATATATTACAGGTATATTATTTAGCACCTAGGTACTGCAGGATGTTTCTCTTTGCACGAGTTACAGGTAAACTCAACTTGATAGTCTGCTACTGTAGCTCGGCAACAATTCTTACAGCTCATGTATCAATATTTCTGGAAGATATGCTCAAAAGAGAACTCTGCCTTCACCCATATAGTCTTAAAGGTGAGCAAGTATAAGTAAAAAAAGACAATCGTACACAAAAAAGAGCATGAAAGCAGGGCAACATGTTCGAGTCCCAAACCTTTTGTGACGAAGTTATGTTACAAATCCAAGTAGTTTTCTGATCTGACTTTAGTGACAGCTGTGGATTATATTTAATATAGTTCTTTTTTTCGGCAACTTCCTTAAACAACTTAGTGTTTCTCAATGCCCTGGATGAAAGGAGACATAAAAAGTAGTAAGACTGAAAGTGGGGACAGAATTTAGAGCTAAACTGTATAGAGGACGATGATTTGAAATATATCGCACCAGTTCTTGAGTTCTCTTGCTTCTTGTATAGGTGGATCAACAAGAATTACTGAATCAAACCAAGTACCAAGTGCGACCCCTGTATGGAGAAAATAAAGTATACATATCTTTACAGGTGTTGCAGGCAGGCAGAAAAGGCTAAACGGTGAAAATGTTTAAGTGTAAAATAGGGACAGACCATTATAGTTGTTGACTCTAACTCTGCGAGCAATGCTGACCGGATAGCTGTGAAGTTTAGATAGTATTTCCTGTCCCTCATTAGCCAGAAAACTATCCCATAGAGACAAGAGCACCGTCTGTGATCTGTGCTCGTGATAAAAATTAACAGTTACAGACTGAAGAGAGTGGTTGTAGAGGGAAAAAAAATAAAGGCTGTGTGAAGTTTTGCATAAACCGAGGATTGAAGCTCTTACTCTTCATTAAGCAGGACAAATTTCTGAACATCTGATTGCTTTGAGTTTTTGATAACAGTTTTCTTCTCAAGTGCACCAATCACAACTCCCAGCACGTCTGCGAACAATACAAAGAAGGGGATTATAAAAAAACTCTGGTCAGAACGTAAACATATTAAGAGCAAAGCATCGAAAGACTCACCCACTGATTTAGTTTTGTCATCCATGTATTGAACTAAGTCAGTAAACTTTGAATAGCAGAATTTTACAGGCATGACTTCATCATCATCAGCAATTTCGTCAATGACAGTCCTGCTGCTTATATCCCATTGAACAGTGAGTTCAGATGTTTGAAACTTTGGCGGTATGGTTCTGACCTCAGCATTGGATATTTTATATTTTTTATAGACCTGCAGAATCTTGCTCATTTTAGCAATATCATCATTGAAGATGATTTCTTTGAATCTTGATCCCTACTTAAAGAGGTGAAGTTAATACAACATAAAGAAAGCAAAACAATAGTGTACTTAAATGCTGAAATCTAAACATGAGCAATGGCTTCGACAAACCTCTGAATCGTAGAAAACAAATTTCTGCTTTCTTGTTGGTGTCCCCATTGAGTTTGTTATATGTTGCTTTTCCTGAACAGTGACGATGCAGCTCCAATTTTTCATGTGAGGCATGATATCTCGCATCGGCAGCAAGTTAGCCATCCTACAAACACACAGGCTGATGGATAAACGAACAGGAACCAAAAGATCCAAAAAACACAGTAATCCAACAATGAAAAATCTGTATGGCGATCTTACTTTAACATAAGCCAAGCAGAAAATTGTTTAGGCTTGAATTAATCTAAAAATTTCATCAAAGACAACATTTCGAGTTTTGCAATCTACTTTTGTGTCATCAAATGTTCCAAGGACAAGAAGAACTTTAACTTTAGCAGCTGTCTTAGCTTTGGACAAAGCAACATACAGCTGACCGTGAGAAAAAACTGGCTCACGTAGATAGATGCCGACATAGTCAAGAGTTTGGCCCTGCGATTTATTGATAGTCAAAGCGAAACAAAGGCGGACAGGAAACTGCGTTCTTATGAATGGAATCCCATTTTTGTCATTGTCAGGTGTTTGAAGAGGTATCCTTGGAATGAAAACTCTTTTTCCTCGATGATGGCCAAAAACAATCTCAGCAGAAATTGTGTGTTGGCCAAGTTCCCTACATATTAACCTTGTGCCATTGCAGAGACCTTTAGCTGGATTTAGATTTCTTAGAAGCATTAGTGGACAGTTTTCCTTCAACAGCAACTTATGAGGAGGGAGGCCTTTAGGATTTTGAGAATTGAGGAAGTCCTCATAATCACTTTGGTGTCGCTGATCAACAGTCTTGTCTGAGCTAATATAAGTTTGAAGGCTCTCAGGAAATCTCCTAATCATTATTTCATTGAGCTCATCAACTGAGCTATTTTTAGGAGTAAGGATGCACCTATTTATTAGGTTATAAGAATCTTGTGAATAGATGTTCAAATCTGGAAAGACACTTTCCAGTAGCCTGTGCAAAAGAAGTTGCATTGATAATGGGAAGTAGGAGGAATAGCTGGTAAACAAAAACTAAATTTGATTATATGTAGCCAGCTAACCTGTTTAAAGACTCCTCTTTATCGTAATAAGGAATAACTATATCTGATGATAAAGTTATTTCACCCTCATCATCAACAGGCTCCCTTCCCCCTCACACTCTTAGAAGGAATTGTGAAAATTCTGGATCAAACATAGCTCGCATATTTTGTGTGAGCTTGATCTTATGCAGTTTAGGCCACAGAGGAGAAATGGGAAAGGTCGACTGGATGAGAACTTCTTTAGTTGCTTGCTCAATCACAGGCAGAATCTGTCGAAAATCTCCTCCAAAAACAATAACCTTTCCTCCAAAAGGCAAATCTGAATCCATTAAATCCTTTAGGAATTCGTCGAAGGCTTCAATCGTGTCCCACTTAGCCATTGAAGCCTCATCCCACAGAATAAGCTTAGATTCTGAAATGAGTTTTGCAGCAGAACTTTGTTTACTAAGCTGACAACTCTTAGCCTTCGAGAAATCAAGCGGTATCTTGAATCTCGAGTGAGCTATCCTTCCACCAGGAAGGATTGATGCCGCAATTCCAGATGTTGCCACTGCAATTGCAATATGGTTCTGTGACCGTAAGGTTGCGAGAAGCGACCGATACAGGAACGTTTTACCGATGCCGCCGGGGCCATCAACGAAAAAAGCCTGGCCTTCTAAGGAAAAACATGCTGTTAAGATTAGATCATAGGCATGTTTTTGCTCAGAATTTAGCATCTGAGGCAAAAGCAGATCCTCAGGTGTCACTGCTAAGCTTTTCTCACTTTCAATCTCCTTTGTTAGCCGTTGAGTATAATCGCATGTAAAATCGTCAGAGACAAAGTGGAAATCAGTAATGCTTTTCCCCATTTGTTCAAGTGAATTGTTAATATCTTCCAAAACTTTTCGCCTAATTTTAGGAGAAGAAAAGCCATGGAATGGCTGCCGGTGATGATAGTCAGCAGAAAGTTCAAGTTCAAAATTTTCCCAAAGTGATCTGGGATTTGTTGGAGAACAATACACAAGGAGACTGGCAAACAAAAGCCTCAATGAGGACGGCATTTGAAATGCCATCGCTTCCTGAAGCGTCTCCTCTATATATGCATCGGACTGTAGAAGCCCAAGCGCTAAAGCAGCTTCTCTAAAAGAACCTAATTTCTGTTCATTAACAGTCAAAAGGTCTTCAAAAGAGGTCGGTGCAGCAATGTGTGTCAAAAGCAATCTCAAGTAATATCTTTCTCCTTCCTTTGGACAAACAGTGACCATACGACCAATTACCTTTCGACGCTTTCTTTCAGTCCACTCTTTATATTTAGCAGACCAAACAAAATGCTCAGGAAAATCTTTGTACAAGCATTTCAGATTCTGTGCTCTATGATTGGTTCTATGCATATGGAAAAACTGAGTTAATATTGTCTTAGAAAAGTCAATTTTACTCAGTAATTGCAGCAGGTCAGAGTTCTTGTCAAAGGAAATGAATTGCTGGTTTGGAAGGTGAATTTGAAGGGTGTAAACTGGCGGGGTCATTTCATTCAGCTTAAATTCATAAATGCGCCAAAAGACTTCTGGAGGCGAAACCCATCTACCTTTCTGGAAGTCCTTTATTTCATCAATAGCATCCGCTAATCCACAGGAAATAATCTTAAAGCTCACTTGATCGTGCCCTTTGAAAACATACTTATACAAGTACTTCATAAGCTTAAGAGTAGAGCAAATTTCCACATTGATGTGGCAATCAAATAAAGCAAGCAGGTAAGGGTTGTAAGGCATAACCCACCTATTATCAAGAGTAAATCTACAAACCTTCACTCTTTTGCCATCAACCCTTCTCCTATAACACGGATAGGTATCCTCACCATGGGTCGTTTGAGCAGAAAAGCTCTTTGGATAGCGATTCTTGCAGGCTCCATCTCTCATACAAGGACAAGACATATCCATGGCTCCGCAAGGACCATGGATCATGTGCTTCACAACAAGAGAATACAAGTGAGGGTATCTATCTTTGTCGGGCAACTTAGCACAAACTACTTTGTCGTACGACTCTGGATTAAGCAGCTTATGACCAGATTTTAAGATCAATAATAAATGGGCATGAGAAAAGCCTCGTTTCTAGAATTCGATCACGTAAACACACGCTGCAACCTCACCGAAGATCTGCTTATTCAGAATTTCTGCTTTAAGCATTTCAAACTTGGCTCTAAAAACTCTAGCGAGAAGGTCTGGCCGATCCTGAGATTTTTCATGGTATTTCAAATTTTTCTGAATCTCCTTCCATGCTGGATTACACGTCATTGTAAAGAAAATGTCTGGTTTTCCATATTTTTGTACCAGTGCCATCGCATCAAGATAACGACGACTCATATCTCTCGGACCACCTATAAAGGAAGCTGGAAGAATGACCTTACGACCAACCTTAGAAGCAGCAGTCTGGCCAATAGAAACACTATCAAGAACTCCCTGTAGAATTTCGGAACGTATATTGTTCTGCCGATGCCTATGAAAGTCAAGCAGACATGTTTCAATTTTGACATAAGCATCAACTGAAAACTGTTGTAGCAGCCTAAGAGTGTGTAATAGCATTGACTCATCATCGTCCCTTATTTGGAACCTATAACAGTAGTACTCCCTAGCAGATACAGTACTTTCCTCTGTTTTTCCTCGGTCAACAGTTATAAAGAAGGAAAATATGTTGTACATGGTTAGATGATGTAATGCAATGGGTAGATTAAATAGCTTATAAGAAGAGAGAAATGTGCTCGCCTCTTTGTTCCAAATCAATTAACTTCGATGAGGAGTTAACTGAAGTTGGATCAATGTTAATATCATCCTCACAATCGTCCCCTCCTCTTTTCCTCTTGCAAAGTCTTTTAATTCCATGGTGCCAGCCACACTCACCACGAGGGAAAAGGAGAGGGTACTGTAAAGGGTCGTAACAGCCATAGTAAAGTTGAATCCTGTAGCTATCAGCCGAGCGAGAATAAACCTGAATATGAGCGCGCCTATCGGATGACTGATCTTCACTTTCAGTCCATATAGCTGCTACTTGCGAGGCTGAGGGAAGGTTATATACTCGCTGGTCAAGTGAAGGATAACAATTAAGGACAATGTTTAGGTTGTCAATGTGTGGAACATCCCTAGGGCCTTTAAAGAAACGAGCATAAGGATTGTCGGAAAGAATACGCATAAGCAATTTTAAAGTGCTTTCACGTAGCTTATCTGAGTTACCAAGCCTCTTTGTTAATTCCTCATCAGTGTCAAAAAAATATAATTGGATTCCAGATGGTTGATCACCTGAGTGAACAAGACCATCAAGAAAGTGGTAAACTTGACCCTGAACACGGAAGGTATAGACACCTTTTGTGTTCTTTGTTAATTTAGAGTCATACTTCGCGGCAAAAGATGTAAAGCCAAGGTTGTTGTTAAAAGTGCGAACAATGGTTCTAAAGTGAGCATTTTCTTCATCATTGCCAATGAACAAACGTTTCAAATCGTAAGGCATTGGAGGAGCAACAATAGAGATCTCTCCTCCTGAGCAGCAAAAGGAAGGAGGTTCCAAATGGAACCTTTTCGCTCCACAATGCTCACAATCAGGAGCACGAGGTAGAACCAGAGATGCGTCAGGAATATTGCCAAGACGAGATATGGCTGAACGTGCAGATGTTAGTTTTTTCGCTGCAGTGTTATTTTGCACACAAGCGAGTTGATTAACTATGACTGGTGAGCCTGATGCATCAGGATGTAAGGCAACAAATGGCTAAAGAGAATCAGGAGCAAATTCGAACCTGAGCTGTAATTGGTTACAGATTCAGGGGGGCTGCGTTTTCTGGAGCGAGAGCGAACAGTAAATGGATCAGAAGAAGGAACCACCTTTCTGGTTTTTATCTGCAAGCAACCAGATGCTGGTCCACATCTGGATACCTCTTTTGTGTGAGCAGGAAAATTGCCCGTGGATTGCAGAACCGAATAAGGTAGGTAAAAGAGTCCCAATTTCCTTAAAGGGACACCGACTAAGAAAGGAAGAAGGCTTCTGGAAAGTCAGGATATAAAGTTGTTTATTCAGTATTTATAGACTGGCCGAAGTTGGCCAGTAGGTTTGCAAACATAGTGTACATAGTAAGGCAAGACAATACCTGCACAAGGTTGTTCTAAAGGAGAATCTGGAATTTCAGGCGGCAAAGAATTACTTGCAGAAGCAATTTTTTTTTAATCAATCGTTCAGAGTTCTTAAGAGACGATTCCAAAGGAAATAAGCCTAGTATAACTTCAGGATGTGAAAGGTTCACAGATTGTTCATTTTCAGGTGGGAGGGAGAATATGTGCTTATGTTTTCCTCTACCTGGTTCATCACTGAGTTGGGTAGAAGTAGGATGAACGGGAAATTTTTTTGGCTTTGCACCAACAGATGGCCTCTGATATTCCGTTGGCGCAAGGCTAGCACGGAACAGGAGTTCTGCAGTTTTGAACAAGGGCAAGCGTAACGCGAGAGACATAAGGGAAATTGTGACAGGCAAAAAAGACAAATTAGGTTGAATGGCGTCACAGAGTAGGAGTTAAACGGTTCAAGGGAGCGGACGTTAAACAAAGGACCTATACCTTCAGGAGAGAGTGTATTTTGGAGAGGCAGGTCTGTTCCAAAGGAGGGGTTAGGATGATCAGTAAAGGAACCAGGTGGCTGACACGACATAAAATCTAATCCTTCTCTAATTGCAAAGCCAGCATCAGTTGGAAACACAACATTTGTGTTTCGTAACGACTGAGAATGAGCAGTCGTAGGATCCTCACTACGGCATGGCATATGATGAGCATTTAGGAACGACACACCAGTTTGCACATATCCTAACGGGACCTTGCGAACACGAGGAGATGGAGTTTTTTTAGCTTTCTTTGAGGCTCGATTTTGTCTCCGAGAGCGCAGAAGCTCTGCTTTCTACAGAGGCGGCATTTCTGCATATTTTTTGCGGCGCATAGCATTCCTATCCATCTGATCGCTACACACTTGAGTAGGCAAAAAGAAAGCTAATGTACACCTCTAAAACACGATTACAGCGCTAACTAAATAAGTAAGAAGGAGGCCAAAGACGAAGCAAGATTGTAACACAAAGAAATGGCATAAGAGAGTGAAGCATCAAATAGTTCCATGTTTTTTCTAAAAAAAATAGAGGAGCAAAAGCTAAAGTGCAGATCTCACACAGCAGAATGAAACTGAGCAGACATAAAAAATAAAGAGTAAAGAAAAGGTAAAGTGCAGTTCTCACACAGAATTATGGAATTCAGTAAGTATAATAAAAAAGGAAAAGAGTGAAGGAAAGTTAAAGCACAGGCCTTACAGAGGACCATGGAACAGAGCACATAAGGAAAAGCAGATAAAGTTTGAGCCAAGCTGGTAGGATTAAAAAGTGAAGCAATAAAAGCATGTAGCAAATGATTATTGAGCAGGAGCAAGCTAAAAGCACATACGGAAGGGAGGATAAATAATGTCACCTTAACCTTAAGCCTTTGTCAGCCAACAGTAGAGCAACAAAGAAGAGGACAGAACCTGCTTCAGCATCGAATAAACCAGCAAGAGGGAAAATGGGTAAGAAGACACAATTTTAAAGAGTAAAATGCGGTACAACAAGCATTTCTTACAAGTAAGTCTGAAAGCTCTTAAAAAGATGGATGACTGGTCTATTTTCACTAGCATTTTTGAAGGGGGGGCGGGGGGAAGTAACCTCTTAATAAGTATTTCTGAAACAGTAATTCTTACAAGCATGTCTAACAAAAATGTACTCCTCCTGTAAGAGGGAGGGATACGCTTCAGAATACTGCTTGAAAAATATATGGTGTATAAGAAATGCTTAGTAAGAGCTTCAAAATAGGCGGAAGGTAGGAAAAGGTAACCTGTACGTAGTAACAGCAGCAGGACAAAAGGTGTAGAAAGCACAGCGATGCAAGAACTGTTCACAGAAGGAACATGGGAAAGGCAGGCGAAAAGAGTTTGGCAGAAAAACCAAATTTAAATAGGCCGAATGGGGAAAAAGAGAAGCAACAAAATGAGGAGCAAAGCAAAGCAAAGAGGCAAGAAAATAGTAACAGCTTAAGCGGGCATAAAATTTAGGTGCAAAAAAAAAAAAACAAATAACCACGACAATGCAGGTAACGCCCTCAGGAGGAGCTAAAAGCAAACAGTAACAGCAGAATTAAACCTTACGCAAGAAGGCAGTAAGACAGCAACTCTTAGAAAGACCTGGAAAACTGGGGGAAAGAAACAAGGCTATAGCTGAAAGTGAAGAATCAAGCAAGTGGAGGGCAAGAAAAGAGCAATGGAAATGAGGCACAATTACCGTGGTGCATGATGACGAAAGCTGGAAAAGGCGGAATTAGAAGCTTAGAAACCCCAACATACATCGGACAAACAAAAAGCTTTTAGTCTTGTCAATCCAAGGAAAGAGCAAAAAAGTGTTTTTTGGCAGCTCTATAGAGCAGAGCTGAAGCTTCTCCTCACCAAAGCGCAAAGAGAAGGAAGAAACTCAGTAAGATGCAACGGTGCATCTGGTTTTAAAAGAAGGGCAATCTCGTAAAACCATACCAACCACATTGAGCCCATCACCAAACACCTATCAGCAATCAAACCATCACCACCCGTCAAAGCTACTGAGATGGCAACGTTCATTTGCAAAATCGAAGGTCCTTCTTCTTCTATCTCGGACAAAAGCAAGGCAAGAAGAAATGCACTTCCCAGTGAGAGCACACCAGTCCCACGTGATTGACGACCATATTCCAGCCAATAAAAGCTAGCCACGTCAGCACAAAACCACCACACTTAACAATTCCATTTGCCCTTTTACTAGATAGGGAATTAAACCTTACGCAAGAAGGCAGCAAGACAGCAACTCTTAGAAAGACCTGGAAAAGTGGGGGAAAGAAACAAGGCTATAGCTGAAAGTAAAGAATCAAGCAAGTGGAGGGCAAGAAAAGAGCAATGGAAATGAGGCACAATTACCGCGGTGCATGATGACGAAAGCTGGAAAAGGCGGAATTAGAAGCTTAGAAACCCCAGCATACATCTGACAAACAAAAGCTTTCAGTCTTGTCAATCAAAGGAAAGAGCAAAAAAGTGTTTTTTGGCAGCTCTATAGAGCAGAGCTGAAGCTTCTCCTCACCAAAGCGCAAAGAGAAGAAAGAAACTCAGTAAGATGCAACGGTACATTTGGTTTTAAAAGAAGGGCAATCTCGTAAAACCATACCAACCACATTGAGCCCATCACCAAACACCTGTCAGCAATCAAACCATCACCACCCGTCAAAGCTACTAAGATGACAACGTTCATTTGCAAAACCGAAGGTCCTTCTTCTTCTATCTGGGACAAAAGCAAGGCAAGAAGAAATGCACTTCCCAGTGAGAGCACACCAGTCCCACATGGTTGACGACCATATTCCAGCCAATAAAAGCCAGCCACGTCAGTACAAAACCACCACACTTAACAATTCCATTCGCCCTTTTACTAGATAGGTAGATGAAAGCCGTTGTTGCTGCAATAATTCATGAGTAAATCTTATACACACTAACGATATATATACTATTATAATTACATATACGATACATATGCAAAATTTAAGTTTTAAATTCAAATTCGAATTATGTGTCATGCATCTAATGATGAAAATGGATATATTGTCCGTGTATAGAAAATTAATCCATAATTCACAACTCCACGTTCAAGTAACAGAAGGTCATAGTGTGGTTCCTAATGTTTCAATGAGTCATTCTCTACATCAAAAATGGCCCGAAAGTTAGGGGAACAAATAGATGGAACTGAGCTGAATTGATTCATATTGGGGTCAAAGTCCTCAAAAGTTGCTCTTTATTGTTTTTGATCAGGACAAAGTTTAAGAAGTGGCCACGCATGTACCCAAAACCTTGTTAAAAAGTCTCTTGAAGCAGGTTTGATTGTGTTATCTTCGGCTCCATTCTATTGTTGTATTTGATGTAATATTTGGTGTATAATTACATGGATTAATGTTATATATACCTTCAGTATAAAGATTTTTTTAACACTAAGGTATAGATATATGATACATAAACAAAAATAAATTTAAAATTTGAACAATGATGATGTTACATTCATTTAAATCAGTTTGTATCAAAGAAAGCTTTACACTAACAATGTATAAAAATTAATCCCTAATTATATTGTATTATTGTACCAAGTATATGTGTAATAGTTTGTTTATGTACATCATTTTTTTTTCAAATACAACAATATATTATGATTTTAACGTGAATCTTGTATACAATAACTGTTGCTCAATTGGCTCGGACACCAGACGACTTGTGGACAAAAATTAAACCGTACGTAACCTAGATCCGTTAATAAGGTACATTTAATAAGCTTTTGTTCCATGTTTCTAATAATAGTTTCAAAAAATGTGCTGCTTAATACCTTTTTCCTTTTTATGACAACCCCTTAATTTTGTTAAAATTTGAGTATGAAAAGGCACATAAACCTTACCTCTTTGAACGCGTTGATACTTGGTACGATTGGATTGTGTTATGTTGGGATATTTAAAATATTTTTCATCGCCTTTTGTTGATTTTTCAAACAACTAGAAAAACAGTTTGAATAGCAAATAATTGTTTTGAATAATTTTAAAAAAAAAAGAAAAACAATTTGGATTGCAATTAACTATTTCGAATTACCAGGTGAAATAGACTAACACTGAACAAACTAATGTTTAGGTTGGTGACAAAAGGAAAAAAAAAAAAAAAAGATTTCTACCCCTTCTTTTCTCTTTCTCTTGATTTCTTTAGCGATAAATTCTTCCACCTCTCATCCTCTAGCTTTTCCATGAGAGAGACAAGCTCTCCCTAGGGATTTTTCTCTTTGTTTATTAAATAAATTTTCTCTCATAGGATTCTCCAAGTAAGAATTTACTCCCTCTTAGATTTTCAAAATTGCAGTATCTCCTTTTCTAAGATTTTTCTGGCAAGAGTTTCTTTCACTCCCAGTGAGAGAGTTTTTTTTTTTCTTTGTTCTTGCTAAATTTGAGGTATCTCAAATCAATTTGGTTGGATCTAAACTTTCTACCGGGAGTTAGAACTAGTGGAAGGCATCACAAATTACTACAGGAGATGCAGAGATTTAGTAATATTTGTAAGAAACACTGGAATTTTACAGTGTTAATTATCTGTTAGTGGTTACTCAAATCTGAAGGAACTCCCTCGTATGTTTTTCTTATATTTGCCATGAATTAATGAAATTCTCTTGTTTATTTTGACAAAAAAAAAAGGGGCCTGTCTTATGAATTTAAGAGCGAGGCATGTTCATTTAGTCCCCTATCTAAACCTTGTATTTGGTACTAATTTATTATGATAAGTAGCTCAAGTAGTTTGTTTGTAGAACTGGAAATAAACATAAATTGTATGATTTGTGTATGTGTGTATCTATGTGTGTGTGTGTGGGTTGGGGGGGAGGGGGAAGTGGGACGTGTAAACGCGTGGCAAATGCTGCAAAATGTCATCATACTATTATCTTTTATTACATTTCGTCACTTAACTATTTTTCTTAGCCAAAAATATCACCTAACTATGTATTTTTTTTTTCATTTAGGAGTATTTCAGTCTTTCGATTAGAGTAATCCTTTAAGATTGTGTAGAGTCTTGCTCCAAAGATAGACGGCGAGATAGCACATGGGGATCGATCACGAACCTGATCGTTACTATCAGACTATGGAACCAGTCGGACTACCTACACGGCATCACCTAACTATTAAAAATGCAACTTCTTGATCATTCTATTAAATCTAGGCGTTAAACACTACTGAAAAATCACATGCATGACATGCGCAAAGGATTTCACTACCGGAAAATCACATGCATGACATGCGCAAAGGATTTCAGGGAAAATAGGAGGAGTATTGACCTGGACAGTGCAGAACTCCATGATGATTATTCACAAGGTGCAGATCAACATGTAAACACGGTTGCAAGCAAGGGAAAGTTGCCGCAGCAGATTGCCAAAAGTTTAATGCTGCTGGTGCTTTTACTGATTGCGGTGCAGATGCATTGCCGGACACCGGGAATGTTTTGAGTGAAGAGAATGCAAGCCATATTGCTGATCGGCAGGCTTCATTATCCTTGACTGATAGCCTGGTTTCTTAATGGCATCCTAAGTAACGGAAGGGTAGGGTGTGAATCGGAATCGAAATCGGTAATTCGGAACTTTGAAATTGAAAATTTTCAAATCAGAATTTTCGACTGATTTCGATTTCAAATTCACCAACTCTGAATTCGAATTCGTCGGTAAATTCCGATTTCATCGAATTTATGAATATAAAAATTATTATTATAATATAAATGTTATATTATATATATATATATGAAGAACATATTTGAAATCGAAATAGGAATTTCGAATTTCGATTTCGATTTCAATTTCGAATTGTGAATTCGAAATTGGAATTTTCGATTTGAAAAATCTCATTACCGAATTCTACCCGAATTCGACCAATTCGAAATTGGATACTGATTTCCATTCCGAATTACCAAATTATCGAATTCGAAATTCCAAATTCAATTCGAATTTTCACATTTGGTTGGTAAATCGGAATTTTTCGATTTTGCACACTCCTATGGAAGGGTGTGGATTATGGCACTTTCAAACAGTACAATTGGAGTTTTCTCGGTTGTTTTTAGTAGGACATGCACTGGTTTGTTATTTTCAAGGATCTTAATATTGCCTGTTGGTTTTATGGATTCTATTACATTTTTTTTTTAGTATAACCAGAGGGTTCGAACTCGAAACGTCTCACCTATGTTTCCTCCTCGCAAACTACCCATCTATCTCTCCCCTCAGATTCTTTTATATTAGATGCTTTTTAAAACAATATATATATATATATATATATATATATATATATATATATATATATATATACACACATTTCCACATATTTCTTTCCCTCCAAGAAAACAATAATTGCGGAACATGCCTAATTTTTTAGGTGCTCAAAGAATATAATCACTTTTACAGTGAATAAAAGGGACATTATAGCCTTTTCAAGCTTGAAAGTCCGAGGTTCAAACTTGGCTTTATCTATTGGGAGCAATGTGGTCATTAAATGATTTGAGGGGGCAAAGTGAAACAATGATCACATTACAGGGGGGGTTTATTGTATTTCACCCTTATGATTGGGTAGAACATGAATTTTTACTTATTTTCTTTTTCTGGTATCAGTATCCCATCATAGACCTCATGACTAATTTTTTTTGCTGCACTTGAATGTTGGCATGCTAGGTAAACAAGATCAAGAAAGTTGAGTTACATAGCTCCATATCTATTATTTACATGCTCAGTCATTATAGTACCATTAAGTAGCTACAAACTGGTCAAATCAGCAAGTAATTCTTCATGTTATATGAGATTATAAGGTACAATCACAAACCAGAGATCAAATTTCTGTCTACTCAACATTGTTTGATTTCAATCAAACAGCACAAGTTCAACCGTAGGTCTTTGCCCCCTTCAACAGCTTCACAACTTCAAGCATTGTAGGCCTCTTCCATGGCTCATCACAGGTGCACCTTCTGGCAATTGCAAGAACTTCTAGCATTTGAGTTTTCCACGCTGCTGAAGAAGCAGAGAGATAAGGGTCTAGTACTTCAGACTCCCTTCCCCTTGCAACCATCCACCTCATCCATCCAACAAGATTTCCTCCCTCAATATCAGCTTGTCCAGTTGGCGCTTTTCCTGTCAGCAGCTCCAGTATCACCACCCCAAAGCTGTAAACATCGCCTTTGGTTGTAGCCATCATGGTCTGACCATACTCTGGTGGGATGTATCCAAATGTACCAGCAAGAACGGTGGATACATGAGTCTCACATGCACTGATGATCCGTGCCAGGCCAAAATCCGATACTCTTGGTTCAAAATTTCTGTCCAAGAGTATGTTGCTGGATTTTATATCCCTGTGAATGATGTGAGGAACAAATCCATGATGTAGAAACGCAAGACCTCGTGCTGAACCAAGACAAATCTTGAACCTAGTAGGCCAATCAAGGGCTTGAATTGCATCTGCCTGATTCCTTAGCCAAAAGTCAAGGCTTCCATTCTCCATGTATTCGTATATTAAGAACCTCTCATCTGCAAAG